TTCTTCAGGGAGAACTTCTTCTTCTTCTTGCCGTCCTTGGGGGCCTCGCCCTCCGCCTTGACCGCCTCGCCCTCGGCTGCGGGAGCGGGCTCGATGGCGTCCCCGGCGCTGGCTTCGCCCTCCTTGGCCGGCTCGGCGGTTCCGTTCCCGTCCGCGGCGGCCGCCTCCCCGTCGGGTTTGGCCGACACATCGCCGTTGGTTTTGACGTGGCCGTTCTCCTGCAGAGAAGAGAACTCATTAGTCATGGATTACAGTAATCAAACTGGGTCAAAATACAACACATCGCCGCTGGAACTGGGGGAAAAAAAATCCCTGACATACACAGCTGGATAAACTGCAGATGAGATGTGTACTAATATTCCAAATAAATCTAAAGAGATCTGACAGATTAGCATTAGCCCATTTACTCCAATAGTTAATCCATGTTATACTTGAGGAAAGCTGCTTGCCCCTGACAGTGGTTCGGAGGGGGGGGGTTCAACAGCTGTTTGCACGACTCTGAGCAGACACATGGGGGCAGTAGAGCTGCATCTAAACGTCAACACAGACCGCGAGCTGGGGAACAAAGGAATCCCCGTGAAACCTGGTTTCTGCTCTCATCCGAGAGCTGCAGCTCACATCTAGCACTGCTCTCTGCAGGAGCTCAGTGTGTCCGGACTACAGCCAGCACACACACACACACACACACACACACAGAGAGAGAGCCGCTATCCGGTTATATTCAGTCAATGAAGCTGTAGGAGTGATAAGGGAGAGATAAGTCTGTAACTCAGCCAACTCCAAGTTCATGAACTGGCATCGCTTTCTATCACACACTGCTCCCTGATCTGATCTGGGGTCAGACTCATTCAACTCTCAACAATAAGCAACTACACACTGGTCATTAAAGCACACATTTCCTATCCGCAAACGTATTTAATTCAGTCAAGCTGTATGAGAATCGACGCTGTTGTGGGTTCGGGGCTGTGAACCGGCTCCTCTCCGCAACATGCGCCTCCAGCACAGCGCATTTGCATCCTTTGCGCCGTTTGCCTCGCATCTTTTGTTCGACGCGAGAGCGACTATCCCGCCCCCGACTACAGCCAACTCATGACAGAAAACACGGTCTAAACACACATTTCGACCAGATTGGGCCCTTCTCGCGTACAGTTTGCGGCTGAATTGCCCCCCCGTGGGAGCCGCAGACGGGATTTAACAAAAGGCAGGTCTGGGGGCGCGCTCAGCGGGGACGAGCATGGCCAGTGGACGGCCGCTCTGCTGGAGGTCCGCTGGATCTCAGACAACCTGTTTTAGCCTCATTCAAACTTATCCTGTCTACTACAGCAGTGTGCTCAACAGGGGAGCGGGTCTGATCTCAGAGCAGAGTGTGAAACAACAACTGCTCGGCTCCCATCGCTGCCCGGAGCCCCGCCGTGGCACCCATGCTGCCAGTGGGCGTTGGGTGCCATGTGGCTCCCCGCTGATGCTGTGCACATCAGGACCTACTTTACTCACCTGGCCGTTGGCTTTGGCAGCAGCAGGGTCGGCGGCGGCTTTCCCCTCAACAGCTACTCCACCCTTGGACAATTGGGCTCCCATTTTTTTTTTTTTTTTTTGGATCCTTTAGGTGATCTGAACAAAAAAAGAAAATCGAAAAAGAAAAACCTCGAGGAGTTTTTGAGATTTAAAAATCCAGCTCTGGGATGGGTAAGATCTTGGCCCAAAGAGGTGAAAAATCCGACGGCTCTCCTTCTCCCTAATAGGTTTTGCAAACGAGAAGATCCCCCTTCTGTGAGTGTGAACCCCACGGCGGCTGAGCTCAAATTAAAGGATGTCGGTGATAAGACTGTGAGTATTTCAACCGCGCCTCAAAATCGACCACAGTCTCCTCCCATGGGCGTGTCAGCCAGGCTTTGTCCAATCTGCAGCCGGGGGGGGCGGGGCGGACCTCCTTCACCCCCCTGTCACTGCAACAGTCTGCTGCTCAGCTAGACTTTTTCCACTGTTTCAGTTGTCTGGAAGATTTGGGGGCATTCTAAACCTTTAAAACTTTCTTCATAAACTTACTCAGCACTTGTTGCAAGAAACTGTTATTCTGACCATCATAATCAGAGAGAAGTCCCTTTATGCGGATTCTATTTAAATAACATCTATAAATGGTTTATAGTGTCGCAGAAGGATGTTAACTTGACACCAAAATGGACAAACAATACTATAAATGTTATAAATGATGCCATAAATTCACTGTTTATGATAACAGACACACAATAAAAGTATTTTATCATGAGATCACTTTTCCCAAAACTATGGTTCGGGATTTCTATGACAACCACAAAAAAAATTTTATGGATTTTTTTCTTGTAAACTACCAGAGTTTTGCCTCATCAGGTCTCAGAGAATTATTCAAATCGGCCAATATGGGAAGGGAAGATCACTTTTTGTTTTGAACTACTCACAGCTCCAAGATATTCCTAATATACAGGGGTGCAAATACACATTTTATAGCTTTAAAGAGTCAGAAAGACTGGGGACCAGTGCAGAGAATACCCCAAGCTCATGTTTCCAGACTTCATACACTTTGTACAAAGATAATGTCAACTTCTTTTCAAGTTTAACATGATCTACCACTGTTTGAGTGACGTCAAAATCCTCAGATGATCTTGATAATCAGATATTTCAAACACTGAGGAACTCATTAATGGCCTCCGCCTGACTTTGAGTGACAGGCCCGGCTTTCCAAGAGTAAACTGGTTACATAACACACAGCCAGCCTTGCACTCAGTGGAGACCTTGCGATGGCACTGGGGCTGCTTTGTCACCGACACAGACAGGGAGACAGTGAATCAGCCTGTCAGCCAGTAATGAGGTCCCTTGGCCAGACGAGCGAATCCCACGATCGCAGCATTGACACTGCATTTTTTTGGGAGCCCGAAGCTGATGGGCTCCTCTTGTGATCCAGCAAGGTCAGCGGTCATGTGTTTTAAGCTGAGTTATGAGAGCCAGTGGACTGCTTCCATAGAGCGGCCATGTCATGAGACAGGGTCACACATGCATTTATATATGCCAGCTGCCTCATTTTCAAGCCGTTACTCTTAATTCTGGCAACCTTAACCAAATTATCCTCTTTTTCCCAACAATAAGGCCCTCATTTATCCCACAGATGAATCCATGTTAACAAAATGGCACTCTGTCTGCTTGTCATCTTTATAGGACTTCATTAAGTGGAATTTATGATTTCCTCTTATTAAAAGTCCTGTATTCTTCTGAGGCATCCCTTTATGACTCCATATGTCTCCCTCTCTCTTTCTTTCATTGTTTCCACCAATCCGATGGCACACAGCACAACCCCTCCACACACACACACACACTCACACAAACATGTCACAGCAGTGGTATGCGAGGCATGCATACGCCCCGAGAATGATCTCCATCCATTCAGTGGGCTGAGCTTCCCACAGTGGAATACACCCCCAGGCGTTTAAAATGTGCACCCCCCCACCCCTCCAAACCAACCACCACCACTCTATACATTCTCCCGAACTGAGTCAAGAAGGAGAACAACATGTTTGAATGATGTCTTTAACCCTCACCTCAAGTGGGCGCATAGCTCAATAATGGCTTTGGAATTCTTCGTTGCTCTCTGATGTGGGACGTCTGACCCGGTCTTCATTCTGATGAGGTCTATACATTAAAGTTGTCAAATTTCAAAGGGATGTTCCTGGTTTGATCAGCACAAGAAAGAGTTGCTTTCACAGCAGGGTATCAGGGCCTCTGCAGAGAGACTTCTGCCCAGGTTTACCTCAGGTTTGTCACTCATATACAGTTAACTACTCAGGAACTGTATGTAAAGGGGCCATAAGTAAGATTCTGATTCTGTTTCTGATCTGTATTTATCACTTTTTATTGCTAATGAGTGAACAGGTTGTAACACAACTCAAAAAATTGCTAGATTTAGATCTAGATCTCTAGTCTGATGCTGGTTTTACATGAATATACAAGAATGATAACATGGTGAGTTGCCCCTCTGAGCAACTACAGCAAAATCAACATGAGGGCAAGGAAGATTTGAGGATTTTACAAATTATACGATACCTTTATTGAATGTAGTGCATCACTAAGTAAACACTATAAGTAGTTAGTATTAGTGTTAATACTTCCACCACTGCTTATATACTACAAAACATATAACAAAATCTAAGGTCAAATGTGAAACTGGTGCTGCTCTGTCATTGCTTGGAAAGAAAATACAGACTTTTTTGAAAGCTTTGACTTATGAGTGTAAGATTTTGAAGTATCCTGATTTGCTGTTGCCTGCTGTACTTTCCATTTGTTGTAAACAGCAAAACATCAGAGAAGTGCTTCCTGATTTAAATTGTGTAACATCTCAAGCTAGGGTCTATGCAACACAGTGTGTTTTTCAATTTCAGCATTTCAGTGTGGACAATCAACTTTAGATTGATACCCTCATGTGTGAATGCTGAATGTGAAGAGCAAGCAGTTAGTTTAACACATGGACTGGGAATGGGGAAACACAGCCTTGTTTTTACACTTCAGTTTTTATATGGATTAAACAAACGGAATATAGCGTGTTAATTAGTGTGAGTTGCTCTTAGGTGGTCTTTATGAGCTTTAGACAGAGCCAGGCTAGCTGTTTCCAGACTTTTTCCTAAGTTGGGCTAACTGGCTGCAAGCTACAGCTATTCAGCATGCAGACATGATTTCATCAAGAAGGTTAATAAAAGTATTTTACATGTATATTCAACACCCCCTTCATTAATGTGGTCCTCACCAGCTCAGCCTTAACAACAAACCAGCTGAATCTGCAGTGAATCCTGACAATGACCATTTATTTAACACACACACTTGTAGTACACACACTGCCATGATGACAAGGCCTGATTTCCTTGAGATAAATGGGATTGTGGCTGGAGGACTTCCTCCGGCCTCGGCCTCCCTACTTATTTCTATCACGTTTAACATGGTGCTTCTTCTCCTCTTCACACACTACTTTTCCTCTGAGCTGGTCAATGCCCCTGTTTGTGTGGTTGCCCATTTTTCATGCCCTGACACAGGATGAGCTCTCAAATCCTGCTAAAAGCCTCCATTCTCTCTCTCTCTCTCACTCGGCGAGCCAATTGATGAGCATCACAAGTAGAAAGAGAGGGAGAAAGGAGAGTGAGAGAAAAGAAAAGAGAAGAGAGGAGGACTGGAGCGACGGAGAAGAATCAGACAAGTCTCTGGGGTTACTTTTGCTTCAGGGAGGAGAAAAGTTGTCTTTATGACAGTCACCTTGAACAGATTGCTTGAGCATATCAGCGTGATGAATATGTAATTTCCCAGGGTTCTTCAGTTCCTCAGCAATTCATGCATACACAATCACTAAAACAAGAGAGTGCAGTCTGTTTCCTGTGTGTTTCCTATAGTGTTGTGAGACACTGATGGTCCCAAATTTGTTGTAGTTTTGCACATCTGATCTGGCCCAAATTCTTCAAAACCTAATGCAACGCGGTCATAAAAACGGTTTTATAATAAGAAATAAAGGAATAAAGTTTGCAAAAAGTGAATTATATATAGCCCCAACGGAGTTGCAGAACAAAAACATTTCATTTTAATGTATCACAAACGCGAATGCAGCCCTGAATTCGGCTCAAAAGTGGCGTCTAAGCAAAGATGTGGCATAAACAGAACATTTGCATTGCCAAGCACCTAATTACAAGGAGAATCAGATGCACAGCCCTCTTCAGTGGCATGAATAGGGGTGCGTTGACTTAAAAGAAAGCCCTTTGTAATGCTAATTAATTCGATCAACTGGCTTATTGACTGCAAAAAGGCCCTCAACAGCAGGCAACCACAAAGCTGCACATGGCAGCCATCTTGACCGGGGGCTTGTGCAGATGTATCAGTCTGTCGGGCTCTGGCGGAGGAGGAGGAAGGGATCGTAGCTGGATGTCCATTGCTCAGCCTAACCCGTGTGTTTGACTCGCCTCATTGATGAAATAGTCGCTCACATCACAGGGGAGCTTGGAAACACAACACAACCTCTAAAAATGGAGGGAAACCAACAGTAATCATGTTGATGTGTGTAGATTTGCCCCTGCCCCAACCGACCCCCCTTCTCTCTCCGTCTCTCTGTGCCTAAGGTGGCAGACATGACGCGACACGCCCCTCCCTACATTTCTGCGTGCGTGCAGACATGCCACGGAACCGGTTGCCATGGCAACTACTGCTTCTATCGACGTCTCCGGCTGATGTTGCGGGAGGAGGACGTGGTTTGGTGGGAACCCAGTCAAGAGCAGAATGGAAGAGGATATGGCTTTGGCATTGTTTTTGTTTGCCTTATCATCTCTGGCTTGTTTATTTGAGATGACTCTGACTCCCACAATTTACGCAGCCGGGACTCTCAACCTCCCTGTGACCACAGGGAAATGAAGCGTGGTTTCCTTTTAACCTTTACCCTCGCCATCTCCCTGTCAGACTCCATTTTTTCTTCCTCATCATAAATTCCTTCTCTCAGTTTCATCCACTGTACATCCTCTCAGTCCCTCTCTCTCTGTTTGTCTCCAACATCTGAGGCAAATTCACCCAGTGCTGCGTATGTA